GATTGGGCTTGGTCTGTATGTGAAAAGATGCTTGATGGGGAGAGCTTGCTGGATGGTGAGCGAGTGGGAAAGATAATATCTTGGTTTTGTAGAGGGGGTAAGGCCGAGAATGCTCACACTGTTTATTTGTTTGCCAAGGAGAAAAACAAGCAGCTGCCTCGGTCTTCTGTTAATTTCTTGATTAGTTCACTCTGTAAGAAGGATGAAACAGTGAATTTAGCTTTGGAGATGTTGGATGGATTCTCTGGAGAAGCAAGGAAATATGCAATCAAGCCGTTTTCATCTGTTGTTCGTGGTCTGTGTAGGATGAAGAATCTTGATGAAGCAAAAGCGTTACTTTTGAAAATGATTGCAGAGGGCCCACCTCCTGGAAATGCAGTATTTAATTCGGTTGTCGGTGGCTATTCTAAGGCTGGAGATATGGACAAAGCGAAGGAGATGATAAAACTGATGGAAGATAGGGGGTTGAAGCCTGATGTTTACACATACACTGTTGTGATGAGTGGTTATGCAAATGGTGGCCAGATGGATGAGGCTTGTGAAGTATTATCAGAAGCCAAGAAAAAGCATATGAAGCTGAGCCCTGTGACTTATCACACTCTAATTCGTGGATATTGCAAAATTGAAGAGTTTGACAAGGCTTTGAAGCTGTTGGCTGAGATGAAGGATTTTGGGGTCCAACCTAATGTGGATGAATACAATAAATTGATCCAGTCCCTTTGCTTAAAGGCTTTAGATTGGCAAACAGCTGAGAAGCTACTGGATGAAATGAAAGAGAATGGGTTGTATCTTAATGGAATCACGCAAGGTCTTATAAAGGCAGTTAAGGAGCTGGAAGCAGAGGAAGTGGACAGCAGAGAAGCAGCAACCACTGAGGTCTAAATCTTTGCTCATTTTAGGAAATGGATGTAACATTCAGATGTTCAACTCTAAATTTTGTAGCCTTCCCCTCTTTAACGTTAGATGATTTGTGAGGCCTGTGTCAATTTCTTTGTTGTCATCTTTATACATCTATTCATGTGAATCAATCGAGAAGATGTTTTTGTTTTTTGGGGGATGCCCATTTTTGTGTTCTTTATACTTGGCATGTGGAAGGCAACCTTGTAGAATTTGAATTTCTTGTTTTTTCTTCCCTCCACAAGTGAGAATAAGAAGGCAGTGCCCCAACATGTGTCAATCCATATATAAGTTTTAGTACTATATTTTATTGGCACCCTTTTGGTTAATTCCCTTAAGAAATTAGTTTACTGGTTTGGCTAGTTTCTATATCTTGCACAGAACTTACTTCCCCAATGCTGACGTAGTTAACACTATCTTATTTCGTAACGTAACCTGTTTCTCGGAACCATGAAAATGATCCAGGATGTTCACAATCGGATCTCATGGTTGTCACCTTTACCTAAATTGATTGCCATTTGATTATTTTAACAGTGGGGCATTTATTTCAAAATATTGAAAACTTGGAGATAAGCATGACTAAAACATGATATACTTCAAATTTTTCTCACATATATTATACTTTTATCTTTTGCATTAATACTTTGTTTTAAATTAGTTTTTACAAATTGGTTTCATTTTTGTTTTTGTATTTAGTAGATATAACATTGAATGGTTAATGAAAAATAAATTTAAAATTTTGAAAATTATTTTCAATTTTACGAAACTAAAGATAATCCGCTTAACCAACGCACCTAATAAATTTGCAAATAGGTTTGGCAAGGGCAAGCTTTGGACGGAATGTTTTAGATCAGGGCTTAGCCTATGTTAGTATTACATTAATAAATAACTTGTTATGAGTATTTTTATAAATATTCATTTATGTTATTTATATTTAGATTTGATTAGAATTTAATTCATCTAATCCCGAAATATTCATCTTATAAATTTTATCAAGATTAGAGAGTTATTTGCTTATAAATAAGTTCTTTCAGTTCATTGGTAAACACACACTTCAATAAAATCATTTCTCTCCCTCTAAATAATTCATTTCTTCTCTTTAATTATTCTTTTAAGTTATCTTTATTTGTTCTTTTAAGTTATATTCATAACACGTTATTCGCATGATCCTCTGATATCTAACGTTTTGAAATTATTTTATTTTCATTATCTTCAAGCTTCAAAAAAATTTCAATGATTGGATTTTGATAACTGATTTTAGCAAATCAAGTAAGTGATGGTATTATTTTGTTTTCATCATCTCCAAGTTTGAAAAGGATTTCAATAGTTGAACTTTAATTTCTAATTGTAGCAAATCAAGTAAGTGACTTGATATTTAATTAATGTTTTCATTCTCTAAAAATCAATTTTAATATGAATTTTTCTATCATGTATTATATATTATATTTTGTTCATCGATTGGAAAGTGAATTTATTATTATATAACTATTAATGAAAAATCATAAATGTTCATTCTCTAAAGTAAATGTGACAAATGAGTTACTAATAAAAAATCACAATTCCATCCATTCCTTGAAATGATTGCGATATAATTTAATAATTATGATCATGATTATGAATCCATCTATTGCTTGAAATAAATGCAATATCATTTAATAATTATGATCATGAACGTGGAATATGTCGTCACAATAATTTACATTATCATTATTTTAATTTTAAAGATAATTTTACCATCAAAAGTGGATGGATAATTTTACCATCAAAATCTAAGAATACTTTTACCACTAGAAGTAGATGGATAATTATACCATTATAATCTAAGAATAATTTTACCACTAGTGGTGGATGGATAATTTTACTATCAAAAGTGAATAGATGCCTTAACCCACTAACCCACTAAAAATTGATAATCTACTAGAAATGGATAACCCATCATAAAAGGATCACTCATTAAAAGTGAATGGATACTTGTAATCTACCCAAAGTGGATAAATATTTTCAACCCACCAGAGTAGATGAATAATGAAAAGAAAATTTTGAAAAGAATAAAAGAAATATAGAAACGTATTATCACTCATGTGGCAAGAAAAACCATTGGTCATCTACTTGTATGTCTTGAATTTTATCAAACATCACTAAAAATTAAAACATCTTATAATAATTTTAATCATGACCAAGTAGATATAGCACATTAAGATGTTTGTCCACCTTGAAAGAAGAATTGATTATATGATTGGTAAGAGAAATATCCATTGTTGATTTTCTTGTTCTGAAAATGAATTGATCATTTGATTAGTAATGAAAATATATAAAAAAAACTTAATAGTAATTGGTAGATTTTAGTATAACTATATTATGAAGATACTTTTGTACGTTCTTATTATATTTAAATGATATGTTCTTATTATGTGTTTTAATTATGTGTTACTTGTTCTTTTATGTTAACTTGTAAGTTTTTTATTGTATATATAATTTTTTTTATTAAAGAAAAATATAGATATTCATCTTGTTAGCTCTAACATCCATAGTGTAAATATATGTCTAGCAAACATTGCTACAACGCACACTATATTTAAAGATAAGAAATATTTTTTCAATTTGATAATGGAAGAAATCAATGTCAATATAATATCTAGTAATACAAGATTAATTGAAGGCTTCAAAAGAGATAGTATTTTACTATTTTGAGGAGCAAAGTTTATGATAGAGGATGCATTATTTTTAATGTCTCAAAGAAATTTATTAACTTTTAAAGATATTCGTTTGAATAGATATCATATTGAGACAATGAATGAAAAAGATATTTAATACTTCTGTATTACATCTATTATTTCGAGTAAAAAGTGTGTTGAAAAAAAATTATTCATTTTGTTCTATAGATTGTAATATATCAATATTAGAATGATTGAAACCTATATTATAATAAATCAGAAGTTTATTATGTTTTTAATGTTTGGCATGACCAATTGGACCATCTTGAATCAATAAAGATGCGAAAATTATTGAAAATTAATGTAATCATTTATTGAAAAACTAAAAAATTCTTCAATCTAATGAAATTTCATGTGCCACTTGCTCTGAAGGTAAATTAATTATAAGACTACCACTAGTTAAAGTTGGAACTGAATTCCTTATATTTTTTAAACATATACAGTGTGATATATGTAGATTCATACATCCACCATGCGGACATTTAGATATTTTACAGTTTTAATCGATACATCAAGTAGATGGTTATATATGTGTTTTTTATCAACTTGCAATTTAACATTTGTGATCATACGTTTGCAAGCATATTTTCCTGGTTATGTAATTAAGACTATTTATTTTTACAATATTGGTGAATTTACATTTCCAACTTTTAATTAATACTGTAAATTAATTGAAATAATAATTGAATAGCCTATTGCTCATGTTCATACGTAAAATGGTTTAGTAGAATCGTGTATTAAACACTTCCAACTAATTGTAAAGACATTGTTTATAGAATCTAAACTTTCAATTTTTGTCTGGGGGCATGTCACTTTGTATGCAACAGCACTCATATGCATCATGCTAACGAATTATCATAAATTCTTCCCTATACAATTAGTTTATGGTTAGAAACTAAATATTTTTTATTTCAGAATTTTTGAATGTGCGGTATATATTCTAATTGCTCCACCGTAATACACAAAGATAAGTCCTCAAATGAAGTTAAAAATATATAGTTGATACAAATCATCTATAATTAAACATTTAAAACTATTAGTAGGAAATTCATTAACGGTAAGGTTTACCAATTGTTATTTTGATGAAATAATTTTTCAACATTAGGGGGAGAAAATAAGCAGCTAAAAAAGGAAATTTTTTGGAATGTATTAATATTATGTAATTTTGATCCTCACACAAATCAATGTGAACATAAAGTTTAAAAGATAATTCTTTTACAAAATATAGTAAATTTGTTGCTAGACGTATTTATTGACCTCAAGAGAATAACTAAATCTTATATACCAACTGCAAATGCTACTATTAGAATTAATATTCTTGTAGGACAAGGCATGCCAAAAGCGTAGAAACCAATTGGTTTCAAAAATAAAATTCTAAAAAAAAAAGGAGTAAATATTCAATATGGTTAGAAATAGGAAGTAGAAACTCTAGAAGAGACTGTTGACATAAATGATAAAAATTTCAGAAGAAATTCAGGTACCAAAAATCATTGAAAATGAAGAGATCTTAATTAATTATGTTATGATGGGAAAAGATGGAACTAGAATAAAATAAACGTCGACGATATTATTGTATATAATATAGCACTCAATATTATGAAAGAAAAAAGATGATCTTGAACTTATATTTATTGAAGAATTTAGATATAGAGATGATTGACCAATGTGGAAAGACACAATCAAAGTGAAATTGAATTCACTTGCAAAACATGAAGTTTTTAGATCTGTAGTCCATACACCAAATGGCATAAAACCAGTGAGATATAAATGGGTATTTGTGTGGAAATGAAATGAGAAAGATGATATTGTGAGATATAAAGTACAGCTTGTCGTACAAGGTTTTACCCAAAAACCTGTTATTGATTATGAAGAGACATATTCTTTTGTGGTGCATGCAATTACATTTCGATGTTTAATTAGTCTAGCAATATATGAAAAGTTGAAATGCATCTAATGGATGTAGTTACAACCTATTCATACGGCTCACTTGATAAGGATATCTATATGAAAATACCTGAAGGATTTAAATTGCCTAAAGCACAAAATTTGAATTCTTAAAAGATTTATTCGATCAAATTACATAAATCTTTATATAGATTAAAACAATCTGGACGCATATGGCATAATCACCTTAATGAATATTTGTTAAAAGAAGGTTATGAAAATGATCCTATATGCCCATGTGTTTGTATAAAAAATCTAGATATGTATTTATGATAATTGTTATTTATGTTGATGATCTAAACATTATTAGAACTCTTAAAAAGTCATCAAAAGCTGTGGATTACTTAAAGAAAAAATTTAAAATGAAAGATCTTGGAAAAATAAAGTTTTGTTTGGGTTTTCAAATTGAACACTTGACAAACGAAATTTTTATCTATTAATATAATTATATAGCGAAAGTGCTAAAACGATTTTATATGGACAAAGCACATCTATTGAGTTCACTAATGGTTGTAAGATCACTAGATGTGAAAAAAGACCCTTTCCGATCTTGTGAGGATAATGAAGAACTTCTTGGTTCTGAAGTACCATATCTAAGTGTAATTGGAGTAATAATGTATCTTACTAGCAATACACAACCTAATATATCATTTGCTGTGAATTTATTAGAAAGATATAGTTTTTTTCTAACTCGAAGATGTTGGAATGAAATTAAACATATACTTCGATATCTCTGAAGAACAATAGATATGGGCTTACATTATTCAAGTGCATTAATATCAAATTTAATTGATCATTTAGATGCAAAATATTTATCAAATCCACACAAAGCTCAATCCCAAACAAGTTACTTATTCACGTATGAAGGTATGGCTATTTTATGGTGTTTTGTAAAATAAACTATAGTTGCTACTTCTTTTAACCATACAGAAATTTTAACAATTTATGAGGCAAGTTATGAATGTGTCTAATTAAGATCTGTAACTCAACGTATTCAAGAAACGTGTGGCTTATCAACCAATAAAGAAATTCTAATAACATTATATGAAGATAATACTGCATGCATATCACAATGAAAGAAAGGATACATTAAAGGCAATCGAACAAAATATATTTTGCCAAAATTCTTATTCATTCATGATCTTCAAGAAAAAGTTGATATTAATGTTCAACAAATTCGTTCAAGTGACAACCTAGCAGATTTGTTTACTAATACCCTTTCTACTGCAACATTCAAAAAGTTGGTATAAAAGATCGGAATGTGCCGTTTTAAAAATCTCAAATAATGCAGTCATCAAAGGGAGTAAAACACACACTATACTCTTTTCCTTTATTAAGGTTTTTTCCACTGGATTTTCTAGATAAGGTTTTTAATGAGACAAAATTTCAAAAGTATATTCTTGAAAAAAATTATGCACTCTTTTTCCTTTACTCGGATTTTTCTCCCATAAGATTTTTCTCTTGTAAAGTTTTAACAAGCCATATTTTTAATACAATGGATATTCAAGAGAGAGTGATATGAATATTTTTGTGAATATTTATTTATATTATCTATATCTATATTTAATGTAAATTAGATTGGATTAAGATTTATTCCGTCTAATCCCTAAATGTTATCTTTATTTTGTAAATTATATTAAGATAACGAGGTTATTTGTCGATAAATAAGCCCCTACAGTTCATTCGTAAACACATATTTCAATAAAATCTTTTCTCACTCTCTAAATACTTTCTTTATTCTCTTCAATTGTTTTTTCAAGTTATCTTTATTTGTTCTTTTAAGTTGTTTTTACATAACATAACTATTTTTATTTAATATTAATATATTAATTATAAAATTTTTATTAATATTTTAATAAATATTCTTGTTTTGAATATTATTATTAACAAAAATTTTAAT